GGGTTCAGTTTGCTGTTTGCATATCCGGTTCTATATGTCTCCTTGTATCCGTAATATTAACTGAAAAAAAGACAAAATCTCATCATAGATCAATTTACCTAAGCGAAGGCGAAATTTAATAACAAAATATTTATCTTGTGTACAYCGGAAATCCGTTTTTGCTTTATACAGAGTATACCAGCTAAAGCTTGCCGAATGACAAATGTGTTCGAAAAGAAGTTTTGTAGAAACTAGGATATACAGGTGTCCCAGCGAGTTGAAAAAGTCCATTTAAAAAGTCCACCTTTAAATGGTAAAATTAAAACAAAATTGTATAGGATATTGATAGATACTAATCTAGTGCATCACCTAAAATTATTTTCAACTATACAGCATGTCCCAAGATGTAAACKTGTGTTTTTTWAATGTAATAATTTTTAAATAAAACAATCTTTTTACACTAAACTTTTATTAGTCGATTTCGCTTAGTTTTAGAAATAAGACGTTTTTTTTTGACGAAAACATTCACTTTTTAAAAATTCATTACACAGAAACTACTTCTRCAAAGAAGATATTACAGAATTTAAAGCTGTAGCAATTTTTWAGTGTTTTGCATTTATAAAGAAGTTTGTTAAAAGTTAAAAACTTAATGGAACACCTTATTTTGTCTATCTAAAAATATAAAGTTTTAATGTCTAGAATTGATAAATGAAAAGATGTTAATTGTAGCAACAATGCCTATCTAAGCATTGTTGATACTTTGGCAACCATAATAATTCTATCAAGGATCACTTACCTGTTGATTTATCCAGAAAGTGTAGAAGTCGTTATAAATACTAAAATTATTTTATTGTAAAAATAAAGAATAATGAATTCAGTTTAAAACAAAGGTGATTATTAAGAAGAGATATTTCTTCCATCTCTTATGCAACTGTGCACTTTTTAGCTACTGAAACAATATTAATTATTTTATTTTATTGTTTAACGTTAAATATCTTTTTAGTTATTGATTATAAACACCTAAAAGTAAATAATTTTAGAAAGACAATTTAAAAATCTTTTAAATGCAAAAACAACAAATGCAAACAAGTTACTGAACTTTTAACAAACGCCTTCATTTTTTTATCTTTGCAAATGGAACACACTAAAAAAATGTTACAACCTTATAGCTTGTACTTTATTCTTTGCGGTAGTAGATAAAAAATTTCGTGATGTCTTAGTGTTTGTGTAATAAATTTTTAAAAAGTGTATTTTTGTCAAAAAAAATGTCTTATTTTCAAAACTAAGCAAAATCGACCAATAAAAGTTTAGCTTAAAAACACTGTCATAAAAATCAACATACAAAAACGCTAAGAAACATATGGTGTTTTATTTAAAAAAAACACAARTTTGTATTGTAACTTATTTTTGAGACACGCTGTRTAGTTGAAAATAATTTTAGGCATTGGACTATATTAGTATCTATCATTGTCCTATACAATTTTTTTTAATTTTACCATTTAAGGGTCACTAATAAACTTTTGCAATTCGCTGGGACACCCTGTATAAAATGTCACATAAGAAAAATAAAACTTAAAATCCACAAAATGAAACTCAAATTTTATTTAATGATATTTTTAGACATACTTGGAGAAATGATAATTATATTATCAATATTTCAGTTCAATTTAACTATTTTTTTTTATAAATAATGGCACGTTAAATTAATTATTTTCATATATCAAATTCTAAT